AAGTGTTTGTCAGTTGCTCTCGTAGATGAGAGTTGTGTGGGAGCTTCGCGACAATCTGGATTGTCCGTTCCATGATCATGGTCTTGTCATCTTGAATCTTCTCCCTCTTGATCTTGGATTTGATGATCTGAACGAGCGTCTTGAGATCTTTTCTAGCCGTCAGTGTCTGCTCAAAATGTCCGTCTATGGCCAGGATTTTCACAAACCTGCGGCCTGTAAGGCCTTTAAATTCTGGATTATTGTAGGCCGAGTAAGTTCTGAAGAGTAGGTCCCATCGCCATTTTGGGTAGGCAGTGGTCGCTTGGACGCCTGGCGTATATCTGAGAATCCTTTTTTCCTGACATCGTGTGAACCATACCGGGGGTCTCCTCGACTTGGGCCAGGGTGAGGGCTCTTCATGCTAGTAGTCGTGGGTGGATTGTGTTTATCGGCTCCGGCACTTGAATTGCTCTCGTTTCTGTAGGTCTTCATTTTGAGGTCGATAATGAAGAACAATCAGTAGAGAAAGGTAAACTAAAGCAGGGAGATCTTCTCGTAAGGAGACCAAGGAAACCACGCCCAATTATTATACCTTTCGTTTCAACTACTACCTGGGCAGTACGCACACCGCCATTTTTCTTCCATTTGAATGCTCGAGCCAATTGGCATTGTCGACTTTCTCAGCACTGTGATGCTGGAGAATTGATTATGAGCACAAATACCAACCAGGTATGATAGATACCTTGCGATCGTCTTGGACAGTCTCAGATCAAGTCTAAGACTATGTTTCACTCGAGCCGCCCCGGGCTGGTAGTGTGACACCTGCGGTAGATCAGTCAAATCAGCAGCTGCAACCGTCCGCAAACGCTCCGTTCGTGGGACTTGTTTACATAGATGTACTCAGTGTTAGAAAGATTGATTGACCTGGCCGATGCCGCCCATTCCCTTGCGGCATCTTCCGATGCACTAGTTTAGTATCGTGAGACGCGCCTTCGGGAACCGCTGTGCCGCTACGTGGGCAATCCTTCAACGAAAGCGGGGTGGAGAAACCCACCGGTTGTGATGTTATACAACGTCCACGATGATTTGGGTTCGACATCACTCTCGCATTGAGGATGATGGTGCACCGATGCTCAATAGTAGCTGCCTAGGTCACTGCAACTCGCGTAGCACTCAAGAACGTTTCACATGTACTCAACCAGCCGTGTAAGGTGGCCGTACTATCGTATATGCTGTGCAACAAATATCGTGACTTCAAACCCTGCTGGTATGCAATCAATTTGAATTATTTGCTTCTTTGAGGGAGCATTATTGAACGAATTGGTAGGTATGTTAGTGGCATGCCTGCTGCAGGTACGTAAGTTGAGTTCCTTGGCATACAATACAGATGGGAAATTTAACTTTGAAAGAGTTTACTAGCGATCAGCTGTGTCTCAAAACTCGCTCATTTGCAGATCAGGCAATATTTTCTATGCGTCATGAATTTCAAGTCCATTCTCCCCTTACTAGTACCAATGGTATGTCTTGCATGGGATGCCAGAGTACTCTGTGAGACTTAGCACACCCATGTCTCGCGCCTTATCGCATACCCACATGTTTTCTCGGGGATACAACAGCATGTATCCGTAAGTAAGCATGCGGTGGCAATAAATGATGGCCGCTGCTTTGGTGTAGGGGAAGTCTAAAACCCGGCCATCATATTACACCAAGTTACCACCGCGTGGTAAGTATGTGCGACTGGGCAACGGGGCATAATCAGGTCTCGGATCAACCGCGTCCGAAACAAGGGTGCTATTCGTGATTTCACCTGCCGTTTCTGGTGTCATGTCTCGATGACTGCCAAGCTCGAAACATCTCTCCCTTTCTATCCATACATGGAACTTGGCTATGTCTCGACTCTCCCTCTACTCTCAGAAACCCCTTAGCACGCCTCAAGTGCTACCTGATGCGAGCTTTTCGTACTTCATTGTTATCTTTTCTCTTTTCGGCACGAATGTTAGACCTGTCTCAAGCTAATCTCATGAGGCGGAAGGTGGGTGACCCTGGAGACCGAAGCCCGTGCCGGATGTGGTCGGTTGTAACTTTTTATTGATTCGCCGACTTGCGAGGTTTTGACATGTGTAGGGCTTCTAAATCTCCATACCAATCTACTAATTCGGCATATTGTCTAGCCGTGTGAGTGAAACAGAGTTCGAATTCGGCTTGGTGACGCAGATCAGGTCCGGATCATCGGCTTGCACTTCGACGATGGTCACTAGTCAGAAACATACAGAGTTCCTGGGTAAATGTTGCCCTTAAATCGATACGTAACAGGCTGCAGATTGTCTCAATATTAGTCGTCGTACCAAGGCTTCTGTAGCATAGATGATTTTATATGACATTTCATGTTCGTCAATATCGCGGACGTTGCTTCAACGCCAACCTGGCATTTCGAACATAACCTTCTTTAAACTTACGTCTTTCTTTGTTTCAAAATGCAGAATTCTTTGCGCAATTCCTCAAGAAACAGCCGACTTCAACCAAGCACGGGTGGCCACTGTGTCAATGGAACCTGCAAAGGAGTCCAGCACAGCGTTGGCCGTAGAAAGCTGATCCTATGCTTCGATGGTACCGGTAACAAGTTTCGTGGAGATGACAGCGACAGCAATATTCTCAAAATTTTTCGTATGCTCGATAGCAATGCGGATGATCAATGTAAGACTTTTGGCATGCAATCGTCTTTGGGATGATGAGGCTGACAGAGTTTCTAGATCACTACTATCAGCGTGAGTGATGCCACTTCTGCGTATACACTTCATGTCACTAAGATTACGTATTACTACAGCCGGCATAGGTACATATGTTGTGTCAGAAAACCTAACGCACAACGGCGTAAGAGCCAAATGCAGGTCTTGGTACCAGATGGCTAAGGACTCTGCAGTCGGCTCGTCATTCGACCAGCACGTTGTAGGTGGATACAGATTCTTAATGAGATACTACTCGCCAGGAGACGATATATACATGTTCGGTTTCTCTCGAGGTGCCTATGTTGCTAGGTTCCTAGCTGAGATGTTGGACTTTGTCGGTCTTCTTGCCCATGGCAACGAGGAAATGGTCGCTTTCGCGTGGAGCTCATTTTCTCAATGGCAATGCAGAAGAACGAACTCAACACCGGAAGGTAAAGAAGACAGAGAGAAAATGTATCAGTTTCTCAAAGACTTCAGGGAAACATTCTCACGACCGATACGACGGATCCGCTTCTTGGGGTTATTCGATACCGTGAACAGCGTGCCGCGCTTTGAAACGGCTTGGATGCAGCGCAGCAAGTTTCCATACACTGCAAGGAGCTCTGCGAAAGTCATCAGACATGCTGTCAGTATTGATGAGAGACGCGCCAAATTTCGGCAGGATCTCATCTACCAAGAGCCCAAGAAGTCTCGGAGGATAAATGCAGCTGAGCGGTTGACGAAACACCACCACCCCCTCAACGAAAAAGTGCAGGAGTTCCAAGAAAAGTATCGTCCAGGTCGGCGTTCAACACTTGCACCTGACGACGCCGTGGCGAAAGAAGACCGCGGCAGGCGTCGAGTACATCTACAAGAGGAAAATGCAGACCATCCGGCCCCTTTCCGTAGTCGCTCCAGGTCTAGATCTCGGGCAAGTGACCGAATAGGCAACGCGTATACGGATCATGATGCCTCATCCCTCAACTCCAAGCCACCCATGGAAGACCTCACGTACGACTCGGATGACGACGAAGCCGACCAAAACGTTGATGAAGTGTGGTTCTCCGGGGGCCATGGCGACATAGGCGGAGGATGGGACGCCAAACCTGGCCACAAGAATGCCAGTCACATACCCCTCGTGTGGATGGTGAGGGAAGCCATGCGAGCAGGATTGACATTTGATCTCGACCAGCTCGAGTATCTGGGATGTGTTGAATCAGTAGCCGGAGCAGACATGCGAACTGCAAGGCAGTCGTCGTCCACCACGCCGAACGAAGCGATCGCAGTCCCGGAGATTCATGTCGATGCGCCTTCACCCCCTATCGATTTTCAGCCTGCATCACCCACCGCTTCCGCCACAGAACACGCGGTAATGTCGGACACCTCAACGCACACCTGCACGGCCTTACCATTCGACGTGATGATGCAGACGGCACATGAAGCGGACATACACGACTCACTTGACTTTAAATGTGGCATGCATCGTGCCAGCGTCTTCATGTGGCGGGTGATGGAGTATCTCCCATTTCGGAGACTCGATCTTAGACCAGACGGCAGTTGGAAACCGATCAGATGGCCACTGCCGAGGGGAGAAGTGCGAGACGTTCCCGACAAAGTCAGGATTCATGGAAGCGTGATACGACGAATGGAACGGGACGAGAAGTATAGACCTGGGAACTTGATTGTGGGTGGAGGTGGTAGAGGTTGCCGAGTTGCGCCAAAGGAGTACGGAATGGGGCATTGGAAGTGTGTGAAAGGCAGCGGTAATGTTATTGACGAAATTTGGGAACGAGAGTTGGAGACTGAGCAAAAGCATCACTGAAAATTGTAGTTGTAGAGAAGTTGAGACTGGTATCTCCCGAGGAGTAGAAAATAAATACAAGCTGACGAGTTGTATGTAGCGCCTTAGATTCTAGCTTGAAGAACACTTGAAAGTGCCCATTTGACAGTCAAGCAAGACGTTTTCTGAAATCGGTTTGTCAGAGCGACCTTTTTGCATTGAGATCAATTGACTTTGTGCACATCGATGAGGAGCCTCACGCCCTGGTGAGAAGAGCAGACTAAGAAGCGCCGGAGGGACGGAGAACTGGAATATAACATGAACTACGTGAATGGTCTTTTCTTTGCAAAACCCGTCATTGCGACTTGCCAGGATTGCGGAGATGAGGGAACGCTCCTCTTGGTTTGGCTTCCTGGCTTGTTTGGGCCGGCCCGGCCCGGAGGTTGCGGGGTACGGAGTAGAATTAGCCCGCTTAGAATACTTGCGCAGGACCTTTTTGGACATTGATTAGCAAGCGAACTCGGTCGAGCTCGAGGTGTGTTCAACATTGTTTCCTTTGGCGGCTGGCCGCCTTTCCCCTGCTGAACCTGGATCAGACTGCTGGTTCAAAAGTGATCTTGTTGTTGCCGGTAATAGACTCGGTTTAGGGGCCCACATTCCGTTGATCCACACACACACACATACAGATTATCGAGTACAGAGTTGGTACACACTCTATCTCTCCCTGTTCGCCGTGCTGGCTTTGACAGGAAGTAAGGGCTTCTCTTTGGTGAGCACGCCATAACACAGCTACATGACGAATAATGAACCCATCTCTCTATTTGCAGAGTGCGAGCTGTCTTCGTCCATTTAAGCTTCTGGGGCCGCTGTCTGCATCCAAGTCCTGATTGGTTATTGTCTCATTTCAACATTGGATCTGCCATCTGAGGCTCGTGAACTGTATGTCCCTTGTCATGAAGTGTATCTCTATCTCATTTTAGATTTTTCTTCTACTGAACATAGATCACCCTGCTGGTTTTTTTGTTCTACCTACTGCAGCCGTCGTGGATTTCTAAGCAGCGACTCTCGGTACCACTAGGCCCAAGGATCTGCAACAGCACGGATGCAACTCCTCCCGAGGTACATGCACAAGGAATGCCAGTGACTATCCCACCCGGTCCCCGCAGCCCGCAGCCGCGACTCGGGCTTCGTACATACGGCGGAGAATGGACGAGGGAAGCCTGAACGAGTGAGACGAGGAAGATGCGCATTTGTCAGCGGGGGCTCCGTTCCTGGCCTACGCCGCCTTTTGTTCCGCTAAGATGGCTCTCTGGCCCGAGTTCCGAAGCAGGGTCTCACCCCTCGGCCTGGGTATCCGTACAGAGACCAGCCTCGTAAGATGGTCGTTATTCACGATGGTGGCCGGCCGTTATTAGCTAACTTTGCCTATCAAGTGGGAGACCGAGAGACAGCCCCGGCATGGACCGCGCGAGTGCCCGCGCACAGCGCAAGGGGCCACAAACGGGTCAGATATCAAATAGCATTATACGAGGGCTGCATAGTGAGGTAGGTATGTGAGCATGGCGGTTGCTGTGTGTGTCGAGTTCCCCAGTAATACAACACTCGAACCCGGACCGGCGCATTAGTCAACCAGACCCGCTCGTCGAACTGGACAGAAACGCCCGATCACCAGCTACCTGCACCAGGTCAGGGGCTTTTGGATCAGCTCCAAACGATTCCTGCTTCCACCGCTCTTTCGTGGGACTGCCTCCTGTTGTCAAGTGGACGGCGGCTGAATATATATAAAGCTTTTCGCCGCTCTTCGACCTCGGCACATTCTTGCAAGTCTTGTAGCACCACAACAACAACCCTTCATCAATCGCTATAGAAAATAACATCAACATCCACCCAATAACCGCAAACATGACCTACACTCTTTACGACGCCTCCGTGCCCCTCCTACTTGCGGGTCTCAACTCGCTCCTCGCCATTGTGGCCAAGGCCGAGGCGTATGCCACGGAAAAGTCCATCGACCCCAAGGAAATTCTCGACTGGAAGCTGGCAGACGACATGCTGCCCTTCAGCTTCCAGTACTTCGTCGCAGCCGACTGCGCCATCAAGATCGTCGCTCGCGTGCAGGGCACCGAACCCGAGGCCCTGGGCAGGGAGTTTGCCAGCCTCGGCGACCTACGCCAGCGCGTCGAGCACGCCCTTGCCATCGTCAAGGCCGCCGACCCCAAGACCTTTGACGCCCGTACCGATGCCCTCGTGCCCCTTGGGCTCGGCTTCGGCAAAGGCGAGATGCAGATCAAGGCCCGCGACTACCTCGTCGCTTACGGAATGCCCAACTTCTTCTTCCACATCTCCACGGCCTACGGCATCCTCCGCTCTAAGGGAGTCCAGCTCGGCAAGGGCGACTACCTTACCCCCTTTGCGGCTCCCATCACGCAGCAACAGTAAGGCGCAACCATGGTTTACTTTATGGATTTGGGAGGCTGGTCAGAAGAATCGGGCAACGATGGGCGAGAGTAGCAGAATGAGCTGTCACGAGATGGCGCTCAAAAGCATCGGGGATCAGACATGTAACGGGCAAACAAAAAGTTGACGAATTAAACGAGCTTGATGACTACTACTCGTACTTGAATACGCACTGAACATCCTCGAGTGAAGGCCGCAAGGGCACAGTGGTGATGATATAGATACTAAAGACCCCACCATCATTCGCTTCCACCAGAGTTCCGGCAGAAGGATTGACAAGCAGAAAGAAGTACTTGAGGAATGTTTTAATGAGATACTATGCACCTGGTTCCTGAGGTCTACACACATATGTATTATCTGGTGAGCTTGGTGAGCCGGACCTGCATCTATCTACCTCGACCGACACCTTGAATTGAGTTGAATGAACCCCTCACTTGGCGACATTTGTGCTGATTACATAAGGCACCGAAATATGACCGTTCACCAATTGGAATCTCCAGTTCGAAGCTCAGTGCCCCGCCCCCACTACCTATTGCTCTGGTCGCGGTGCTAGAGTGGATTTGACCCCTCCATACGCCAGGTTGACCGTGGTGAGGAAAGTGTACAAACTACAAAGTGATAGAATGGGATGGTGAACTTATTCGTATTTGCACTAGCTCATGCTCTCGCTTTTTTACAGAGCATTTGGTCAATACGTACCTCTATTCAAAATATAAATCTCATGTTAGGGGCGGATATCAACAAGCTTTGGATAATGAGAGAGGCATAACTCGCTGAATGCACGGGCTAGCGTGTGAATGGGAATAGCTTGAGTTTCTCCGGTACGGAATGGCCAGCGTATGAGAGGGGTGAGGGTGAGAGCGCGTGTGGTTGTCTCAGTGGGACATGAGTAAATTGATTCCAAACACGGGTGAGTGTGCGAGAATTCCATGAAAAACTGCCCACATCACCGAATCACTTGAAGCCATTATCACCATCAGGTGAATTTTCTCATACTACACAGCACCCTATGGCAGACTTCAACGAGGCTGAGGCCCTGACACACACCCGAGTTCTGGGACCGGCCCTATACAAAGTCGGACGGCGCAAATCCAATCCACGAATGGTTCCCGACATACAAGGCCCTCGAGCCGTTCTTTGAGAAGTATTTCTTTTTCAACCGTCATCCTGACACCTCCCCGCGTATCGTGCACCTCGAATCTGGGGATAGCGAATGTATCTTGTGCCCTTCGCCTTCAACTTCACTCACATATACGTCATCCCTCTAGCCCAACTCTATCACTCACCATTTCCACCATAGACCATCCCCGCCGACCTCTCGGCACGTAGTCACAAGAACCAGCTCTGCTTAGACTTCTCCACTGTCGGAGTTGACCTCATGAGACAACGACACGCTGACGTGGCCGGCATCGAGTGGCAATGGGTCGACATCCGCGACATACTCGAAGCCGTGCCGACCGCCTCTATCGACGTCGCCTTTGACAAGAGCACTCTCGATGCCATGATCCACGGGAGCCCGTGAATACCTCCAGACGATGTTCGCGAAAATACGGCCAAGTACATCAGCGAAGTCTACCACGCCCTCAAGGAGGACGGGGTGTTTCTTTACATCACCTACAGACAGCCTCATTTTATGCGGCCGCTGCTGAATGCCGACAATCTTTGGGTCATGGACATGGATGTCCTCTCCGACGATGACAGCGCGTTTGACCACTACGGTTTCGTGCTGAGGAAGAACAACGTACATGCAGGCCCATAGAGAGAAAACCAGATATTGAATAAGATCTGTGTGCGCGATTCGAGTGACAGAGCGAAGATGTATATACCCACTTCTGATCGTTAGCTTAATACTGAAGCCAAGACTTAGACCTACTCAGACACCACTTTTCATTCGGCTTTCAAACCCCCAAAACTTTGTTCGCCCTCTGGATCAAATCCCTCTCCCCGTGCCCATCTCCAGCGCCAACCAACTTTTCCAATCCCATTGCCCGCCTCGCCTCCAACCCCTGGATGGCATCCTCTCCAGGCCTCCCCACGTGCTCGCTCTCCCCCTTCCCGCCGGGGAAGTCCGGCCCTGGCAGACCTTCAAGAAACGCCTCCCTCTGCCTCGCCAAGTACCCGACATTCAGATCCGTCGCTGGACACACAGGGATGTACATGACGCTCGAGTCCCCCTGTCCCTGATGGACTTTATCGACGGCGTGGACCTGGTCCGCGTGCCAAACGACAAAGTCACCCGCCTTGATGCGCGGAATATGAACCATTGTCGCGTCAAGCTGTAGATGCGGGTGCAGCGCCTCGCTGAGCTCCTGCCCATGTCCCGGCGTCGCCCCTTGCAGCTCGCTACTCATCGCGTCGCCGCCCGTAAATGCCCAATTCTCCTCCCGCAAGAACTCCTCCCCTCCTCCCGCGATGCCTTCGCTGCCGCTCGCAGAGAGCTCTTTGCGCGGCTGGAAGAAAGGTCGCAGGAGGAAGTAGGCAGTCGAGAGCTGCACTAGCGGGTTCACCAACAGAGTCCCCTCCCTCGGCCCACAGGAGCTCAGGCTCAGCCAGCCCTGGAACATGCGGAACATGCTGCATGCGCCGGCACCGTTGTACAAGTCTTGCACGGCCTCGACGCGGGCGCTGACATCCCACGGGTCGTACCTCTCCCATTCGCCACGGAAGACGGCGTCGTAGGTCCCGGCCTTGCCGTACCCTTCGCGTTCCCATCTCTCCACCGACCCGCCGTCAATGTGTGGGCCTAGAGCGAAGGTTGCGTCACCGGGCTGACGGATGCGAAGGCGGTCGGCGTAGGTCAGAGGCTGCAGAGAGATGGCGGCTGAGGGGGACTTGTTCCAGAGGGAGCGCATGAGGGTCGACTGGACTTTGAGCATATTGGGGTGCGAGCGGGCTTTGAGTTGCGGGAGGGACCAGTAGAGCTCGTAGACTTGGGGGTTGTCTGCAGGGAAAGCTTTTTTTCCATAAAGAGTTGGTCAGTCATGGGTTTCTTTGCTGAGAGGGGGACTGTGTTCATGGACGCAAATAATTTACCCCTTGTGGACGGATTCATCCTGACATACTCCTCAACCTCTTCTTTATATCCTCTCGCCTCCTTCTCATCAACGACGCCACGAACTACAGCGGCGCCACGCTTGCGGATATCGCCCTTCAACCTTTCAATATCGCCTTCCAAGTCCTTGAACTCCACGCTCGGGATGATGGCAGGTCCCTTTTTCCGGATCTCTTGGTTCTCCTCCCGCAAAGCACGCAGAAGCCGGGCCCAGGACGCGACAACGGCATCCTCGTGACCCGCGATGAGGTTCTCCTTAAGCACACGGAAGCGGTCCGGGAGTGCTTCGCGGGCGGTGCCCGAAAGAGAGACGAAGACGGAGGAGATGTCGCCTTCTTTTTTTGGCGCTGCGGCGCTCATCATCACTGTCCGGTACTGTGATGATGATGATGATGATGGGAGGCGGAGGAGGGTGTGTGTCCGGCCCCAGGACAGGCTATGAAGACGCAGCATTTTTGGTGATCTTTTACTGATGTAGATATAGTGGTTTCTTCAAACCGAGTCTCGTAATAGTGGTTTTGAGGGTTTGGAAAAACAAAGGAAGTGAATCTCATGTATTAAAGTTGGCCAAGCTGGGAGAGAAAGTAGAGGTGTTGTAGAAAACGGGAAGTGCTCTGACTTTACAACATAGCCAAGTAGGTATGCTATTCGTTAGCTATTGACCCCGTCGACCTCGCCAATGATAATGGACTCGATAATCATCAACAGAAGCAGGCCCAATTGGCCTCTTATACCGGATGAGAAGGCCCTCTACCAACACCCACCCTCGTCATATCGCCCGCGATGTGGCCGGCCTTCCGAACTTGGTAATGCCGAAAGAGAAAATCCAGGGAAGCTGGAGAGGAATTCGACAATCAAAGGAAAGACCGCGTAGGTTGCCCACACTTGCATCCATCCCTCCCAGATCATCCCCCTGGGGATCCCCCGCGTTCGAGGCGGACATCCATAACTAGCAAGATCAATGCTGAGCCCCGCTCTGCCCCGCTCTAGTTAGTCTCGGACGATGACATGCATCGTCCCGTTGTGCTCTCCGCGCGTGACCGAATTCGAGATAGCAGTGGGCAGTTATTAACGACGGGACGGCGGGTATACCTGAGCCGAGACGGGTTGCAAAAGTCAAGGCGGAGGGAACTCCGCCAGTAGGGGGAACGGAAAACCCCCCCGGCCTCAAGGTAAGTGCTGCCTATGGTACCATGCACCACACTGGACGCCACACCCGAGAAGCCAAATACACACACTTCTAGTGAAGAGGCTTGCAGCTTGTCAATCAGACCGTAAGTTATACGACATCGTACAACTAAGCACGTTACAATACCAATGAGACAAGAGAGGTGTGGTGTAATCTCATCTGTTCCTGAAAGGCAAGGCTGACAAAAAAACGCCAGACAGAGAGGCTTTGGTATTAGACTGTTGTACCCAAAAGGCGGCCTGTCCGCAAAACTCCTCCAGATCCCCAGCAAAGGCCGTTCGTCGCTGAAATTACAAATGCCGAAGAGAATTGAAATACAAAAACAAAGGAAACGTTGTCCCACGCATTTCGGCTGTAATGTTGGTACAAGAGGTGGAAAGATACATATGAAACCCTCCGTGACGCATTTCAGCCGACCTTGCTCCTTCAGCTGTCCCCTAATTGTCCGTTGGCCCTCCGTATGCGGTTCACCTCCGTCCTTAAATCACGGTTCTCTGTCTCGAGCCCACCCAGCCGCTGCCTTGCCGCATTACGGTCCTGCGAGCGGCCTTCGCGCTCAGCCTTCAGCTTGCTCTCTAGGTCACGAAGCTTGAATATCCAGCGGTTGTCTGCTGGGTCTCTCTCCGCCAACGTGGCTTCAAATGGATTGTTATTAGTTGACCCAGGTGTCGTCACCGTATGGCTGGAGACGCTGCGTGTCATTGTCGATGTTCTCTCACCCTTGCGAGGCTTCCTTTCTCGCTCTCGAGGTCCTGTGGGAATGGACGGCGACGGGCTTCCACTGCCGGGCTCAGTGATAACCGCGCTGGGGTCGTTAGTTGCTGAATAGGCAGCCCGACTCCTGACGTCCTGAGCGGTTCGTAGTGTCGCATTTTCAACCTTGAGTTGGCGGTAGGCGTCCTCGAGGCGCTCCATTCTAGCCTGTTCGTAGGACCCCATGGATCCGGACGCTATGCTGTTGCGTACAATTGTCTCCAACCGCTCCAGCTTCTTAGTCCGGATCTCGAGGTTGTTCTCGAGGCTCTGATACTCGCGCCACAAGTCTCGTTCCACGCTCTTAACACGAGACGAGAATCCGCCCACCATGGTTTCGATCATCTTGATTGCGCCAAGCAGGTTTTTGCTGAATCCGGGCAGCATAGTAGCCACAGCCTCCAGGGAAGGCAGCGCGCGCCCATTGATGAGGCTATTGTCGTGCGCCCAGTCAGTGCCACAAAGGGCCGAAAGTCGGGTCCACAGTACAAGCAGCAAGTTGTTGCGCTCATTGAGCTGATCTCTGAACGTCGCCTCGAGGTGCGAAATCTTTTTCTTGTCCTGGGTCCGCGAAGACTCAAGCTCCGAGATACGTAGGTCCTGAGTGCTGACAGTCCTCGACACATGCAAGTGTGTCTTTTGGAATGTCTCGAACTGGTTCTTCGTCGTTCGATGCGCCTGTCTCTCCTTTTCGAGCTCTCCCGCAAGTTTGCGAGACTCCAGGCCGTGAGACTCGAGCAAGGCGTCGCGCTGCTTAATAATACGATCCTTCTCAACGAGCGATGCCTTGGTCGTGTCCAGCTCGCGGATGGTGTTCTCTAACTCGCGCTGAAGCTTTGCAATCGACTGTTTTTGTTAGTGCCTATGGCTCTTATGGACGTTGTGGGCTAGCTCACCTTGAGAAGGCTGGACCGTGTCCCGTTAAGATCGCCCAGTGCCTCTCTGAGATTATTCTCCAGCTCCATGAGCCGTTCCTTCCATTCGGTCGCCTCGACTTCGCGTGAGGTGAGATTCTTACGCAACCTCCGGGCCTCGTCTTTGGCCGCCGACATCTCGCGATTGAGCTCGTTGACAAACTGCGTCACCTCTTCCTTCTCTTGATTGGACACCATCTCGTGTTGGCGACGCTCGGTAACGAGGCGCTGCTCCAGCTCCTTGATCCTGTCGCGTTCGTCGCGCAAGCTCTGCTCGGTATTAGCGAGAGCTGCCTCGAGGTCACCGATGCGGATCTTGTCGCCTTCCTGCTCCTCGCGCAAGAAAGCAATCTCGCCCTGGCTAGATTCTTGTTGTACGCTGAGCCGCTGTGCCTTGTCGTTGGACTCGAGCAGCTTGGATTCGAGCTCCTCTGACTCCTTGTTGGCTTCTGCGAGATCTTGCTCCAGTTGCTTGATCCTGCCAATCTTGGCTGCTTGTTCGTCCTCCAATCCCACCAGCGCCTCGCTCATTTTGCGCATTTCTTCCTGCAGCGCATCGAAGTTTTCTGTGCGGTCATTGAGCTCAAATTGCAGCCTTTGTATTTCGTCATTTCGTTGGTCGGCCTCGCCTTCCAATGCGTCGATTTCCTCCTGGGCTTCTTTCCGCAGCGATTCGAATTCCGTTTCCATATCCGCCTGCTCCCTGAGTGCTTCGTCCCTCTCGGCCTGCAAAGCCACAAGGTCATTCATGGCATTGTCGAGATCTTCCTGGAGCGTGACGGCGATTTCCTCAGCTTGGCTCTTACCTTCGACTGCAGTCTCGAAGTCTGCCATGCATCCCTCCAGCTCCCGTTGGAGCTCTTGGTTCTGTAATTTGATCTCGCTGATCTTGTCGCGCGTTTCAGCAAGCTTGTTCTCCAACTCCTCGCGCTCCAACTCATCAATCTCTGTCATTTGCGTCCTGCTCGCGCTGACTCTTGACATCGACCGGTGGTGGGCGCCGGCGCGGGAGGCCGAACGCTCAAGAAGGGAGTCCACCGTTGATGGTGCCGGGCCTCCTCGCCGCTGCGCCATTTTCAGATCCTCAATCTCCTGGTACAAACGCTCCTTTTCACGGTTCCTCGACGTGAGCATAGATGTCTGCGCTCCAACCTCGCGCCTCAATTCGGCGTTTTCGTGTCGTAATTGCTCACTCTCTCTCCGCAGCTCGTCCACCAACGTACTTGCCGCACTAAAGCCACCATTTGTTTCAAGATCGCCGGATAGACCGGACACAGGGCGACTGGGAGAGACTTGTCTGTGCTTCTTGGTAATGTTGTAAATGTTGGTGGTGTGATGCATGCCACCATGGCCGCCACTCGCTTCCTGTTTCATGCGGAAGATCTCGTCGCGGAGCTTGCGGTTGTCCTCATCAGACTGCTCGCGTCGAGCCGTCTCCTGCTCGAGAAGGTCCTTCCACACGTCCGCCTCTTCCTGGCTGCCAAGATTGCCGCTGGTCCTCTCGCCTAGCGACCTGACCACCTCGCCGAGCTTGCGCTTTTCTGCCTCCTTTGACATGTTCTCGTTCCGAAGCCTCTCAATCTCAGTGATGTATTCCTCGACGCGCTCACGTAAGTATGTCAACTCCTCCTCGCGTTCCTGGGCATCCAGGTTGGAGGAGCTGTCGTTTGACGAGCCGCCACTTTTTGCTGTTCCGGGGCGATCCTGGTCGTCTTTCAATTGTTTCTCCAACTCCTTGACCCGCCTCCGCAAGGCCTTATTGTCACGCTGGATGACGGCGAGGCTCGTCTTGAGTTCCACGTTTTCCGAGATCATCTCCTTAACACCCTCTTCGGATAGCTTATCAAGGCGATCGCTGAGGAACATGACCTTGAGCTTAAGATCAAAGTTCTCTTTGGACAGACGCTCAATCGTGCTGCTCTGTTCCTTGAGTGTCAGGTTCTTACCCGACCTCGTGGAGGCACCAAGCGGCATGTCTGAGGGCTTGCGGGGCGTTACAAAGCCGCTCTTGGTCCTATACTCCATAGCCAGTGACTCAGGGACCTGCACATTTCTAACATGCCGGGCGATGACAGTGTCGGTGGGTGCAGTCAGATTCTCCTTGGAAGGTTTCGGTGTAGCCAGTAGGTCTTCGTTCCGGGCTGGTCGGCGCGGCGAGAACCGGTTGTCGTCCTCTTCAAGTGTCTCGAGTTGACTCGGTAGCGACTCGGGCTCACCCATACCCGAGGCCATGCTACCGATGCTCACAGAGCGCGACAGGATGCTGCTTAGACTGCGAGGCAAGCTTAGGGTGCCGGCTGCACCTCCAGATTGCAGGGCGAAATCGGCGCCAAGATTGGCAGTGCCTTCGCTCTCAAGTTCATCGTGGGTATCGGGGTTGGTGATGAAAGAGGAGACGGAAGATCGCTGGCTGGCGCCCCGGCTACGCAGATACTTAGGCCGTGTGCCGTACCGGAGGGAGTGGCCGGGCGTGCTACCGGCATCCACAGAGCCCCCTTGAAGGCTGCCGTCAGATCGCTTGCTTCGTAGGGTCGTCGACACAGATTCAGCAGCAGATTCTGCACGAGATATCGATTGGTCCTCGTCGGTGTCGTCAGCCGGGGCTATTTCCCCCGATTGCTTGTCGCTACGGTTGCTAGCGCTGGAAATGGCCCTGGAAATTGTTCGGGCGGCGGCGGCGGCGGCGGGTGAGGAGGACATATTTTCCAAGGCAGAAGTTGTATTGGAGACGTCGGCAGAGGCCGAGTCTTGCGGTCGCAGTTCGGAAAGATCGTTGATGGCCAAGTCTTCCTCAGGGGTCGCTTCGAATCTCAGCCTTGGACTGGGGCTGGGACTCGCAGGGGGTTGTCTGGCCGGGGGGGCAGGGGATCTTGAGGAAGCGACGGCGCCATCGAAGAGGTAAGTGTCGTCGGTGCCCTCGTGCGTTATTGTGGGGATCGGGGATACACGAGAGACGAAGCTTGATTCGACGTCTTGGAGATGTGCGCGAACAGCAGACTCGGCCAAAGAATCGCCATGGCAAGAGTCGTCAAAGGTAGGGCCCTCGACGAAGCTGGTGTCCGGTACGGCGGAGGTCTGGGGTCGCGGGGGAGGGAGCATAGATTCGTTTTGGGGTTCGAGATGGATATGGGTGCTGGACGGTGCACGGCGGCCTAGTTGGTGGTTGTGAGCTTTTTCGTCGGGAGAAGGTTTGGTCGGTGTGTGTTGCGACTCGTCAACAGCAGCGCTTCCTGTATGATTGAGCCGCGACGTATCATCCTCGTCGTCGTTGTCAACGCGGCGAGCGGTAGTAGGGCGGGAGTCGTCGTGATGATTGGGGCGGCTCGAGGGCCGGGTCTCATCATGTTCCATGGTGGGAATTGGCAAGGCGGTTGGGGGGATGCATTCGGCTGGCTGTGGACGTGGATATTTCTTTGTCTCGCCCGTCGTTAGTCCTCGAGGGAATGATTGGCGGTTTCGGGAGGGGGCTCGAGCCGGGGGATGGTGGGCGCTGGAAGGCGTTTCGGAGGTCAAGATGCGCTGGTGATCAATGGTCGGTGAGGGATGAGAGAAGTCTTGAGTGAACAAAAACCGATTGAGCTAGGAAGTGCCAGAGTTTCCCCCTTCTTGTCAGTCGTGAGTCCGTGGTAGCATCAGGATGAGAGACAGCAACAACAGCAAAGTCAACGTGTCGCACAGAACATGCGCGTGGGCGGCGGGAGGTGAGCGTCGAGGATTGGATGCGGACGTGGACGCGGGACGCGGATGTACCTTAGCTTATCATGAATGGAACGGGAAGGCGCCCGGGCGGGCAGAGAAGAAAGCACGTACCTACCTACCTTGTGGTGTATGTTTCCTTCCACCCTTTTTCCCAACCCAAGGTAAGGTACCTCAAGTTCGCAACCACCAACAACGAAGTACCAGCAAAAATTCTACCTTACGCGCTTACCTAGGTTCCTCAGTGAACACATCAATTTGCAAAAATAGAGATGTCGTGTGACGCTGGAAGAATTATTGTGCTGTACCTATATGCACGATGGGAAGGTAAAAGATCCCAGTGTTTTTTTGGAGTCGGAGCTGGACATCTAACAAACAAGTGAAGGACGGGATGTTGATCCGCAAGTATGAATTGTACCACAAAAAACATAAGACAACCTACCTTACCATAGGTAGACACGTAGACAGGTGCCTCTATAGGGGTTGTACCTTGCACCTGGCTCGGCGTTGCGCTTGGTCCCTCTCAAATGATCACTTCAGGTCCTCTCACCCCGAGATGCCATGCCTGCCTCCTGCGTGCCTTACATAAGGTCACTAGAGCATGCTTACCTAATGTGATGGGAGGATCCGTGCCCAGTCGCATGTTGGTCAGGTCGTTGCTGGAAGTGTTCGCCTCCTCCAAGACTGAACCAAGACTTGGACTGTATTATGTGATGAAACCGTGCATCGTGAAGCCTTGCACCTCATCGGCCAACTTGTGGATCGCACCTCTGACATTGAAGAATGACCTCCAGTCGAAATTAGGCCAATCTCAATTAAATATGTATATTAAATCATCTATCGGCTAGTCTGCCGTATCCGTTACAATGGTGTTGGCACTGACGAGCTTCACCTTCAAAACCATGGCGGTCAACAAATGGCCCATACCCGACGTCATGACCTTTCACGATTGCAATATGACCTTTCACTTCACCGTAGGCGCCGAAGATGCGCGTCAGTTGCACATTTAGGGCCAATTGAGAAAGGTATGTACATGCACGGTGTAATAATCGCGTGGTAGTAATGGTATTCATTAAAAGCTACATGAGAGCTGTGATGTCATGCCCACAATCATCCCTTTATCGTGAAAAAGCCGTATCGGAACATGTTTTGTACATTTAGTTGGAAATCTTGGGATTGACCTTTGATCCGGTCACTTTCTCATAAATTCCACGGGCGCCGTCGGTAATCTTCTCATCCGTGCTGGGGGAGAAATCGTGACCAGCCTTCTTAGAGCCCATGTCGAAGACTATAAAGATATCAGCGAGTTGACACAAATGTTGGCGATAAAGATCATGAGCATCTGGCTTACCCTTATCAAGGGGATCCTGCTTCTGCTGGCCTGGCGCAGCGGCCGTGTTGCTGGTTGAGCTTCCGGAGGCGAGGTTCTTGAGCTTGTCCATGTTGATGGGTTGTGGTTTGTGTGTAATGTGCTGTTGGAGCTGGTTGAATAGAGTAGTTGCTGAGGAACGATGGTGTATGTGTGGAATGTTGCTGGGTATGAAAGAACCTCTAGACTCCAATGAGTGAGAGGAATGCTTGGGCACTTTATACATCTCGTCTCCTTCCCTCCCTCTCCCGTTCTTCACCTTCACGCTTGGGAGGCAACCAGAGCGGCATGAGGCAAGGTACCTTACCTGGTAGAGGAAGGACCCCTCCCCCGCTTTCCCCCATCGGCGTCAGACCCTTCATCCCAGTTCCCACCCGTGTCACCGTGGGTCCATGACCTAATCCATGCCCTCACCCCCAAGTTGGCAGCAGATTCCCAGTTCCAACTCGCATTTCCGACACCCAAAGTAAGATAAGGAAGCTAAGGCTGCGCCAAAGAACCAGAACAAGACCACGGTACCTACCTACGTCATTCGCCGGCAGTTGCAAAGGCAAGACTATAAGATATTACCACCTCATTCACTCGCTCAAGAGAAACCGGATCTTGCATCTTGTCTATCTGTACGAAGACCAAGGTACCGACGAGTCGCCTTACAGCATCTCGGCTAACCTCAAGTGGACATCGAACCGGAACCTCAAGATATCACCTAGCACATGGGTACCTAGGTAGAGAAAGGGAGTAAGGCACCACAACTCAAAGGCCAAGCAGTGGAAGTTCAGGGTCCTCACCCATTCCTGCAATGTTGGCTTGATATTCCCCGAAGAAAAAACGCCAGTACAGGACCTGATGCTTGGCAGGCTGAAAGATCGAGTCTGGCTCTCGAGCTAAGGCACCTCACCACATCCCTACGGTGCTGACATTCCCAAGCACCCAAGGTATCTAACCTACCCGGCTGAACGGCAACCGCAAAGCACGGTGCCACGGTGTCCGGGGATAACAGACACTTACGGTACGATGCATGTTTCCGTGATACACGCGCTCGTTTGCGGCACTCAAGCTTCAATCTGGACCTCTGTGGCTGTGTGGGTGTACCTTACCTACTCCGTAGGCTGTACACTACAAGTACCTAGGTATTCCCGACAGCTGGCTACGTCATTTCAGCTCAACCTGGGCCTGGGCCCCGATTCATCGACAAGAGCCCCTCCCGTCTTCTCACCTACCTTACCACTTATGCAAGCTATCTACCTACCTACCTACCCACGTGCTTCCGTCAAAGGAATAATCATGTGACGACGATCACGGTGACGAAATGCAGTGTATCTTCAACTCGGCTTGTCTCAGACTACGGCGGCCGATCCGTGTGGGTAAATGTCGGTGGTCGATTTCCATTAGCAACGAATGTATGTAGGTATGTACGTTCCACACTACTTGACTTGACGAATGCAGACGAGAAACATCCAAGGGTGAACTGTGTCAGTTCCAGTCCCAGAGCGGACCACTCCTTGAACGTAAGCGCAGTCCGGACACAATGCGCAATGTAGGTGCTGCTCTCATTCCATTGAACCTTCCCTTGCTTGCCGTGCTTGCGTGCGCTACCTTATTTGGCTGACATCCACACTCGCCTACTTGTCATTGTCGTGCCTTCTAGATAGCAATAGAATACCATGTCTACTCATCTTCGTACGCCTTCATTACTCATTCATGTCGTCCAGCCACAAAAAAAAAAAGCTTGTGCGAAAGCTTCGTCCAGAATCCTCAAACGCCTGGGTGTGCAAATGTTCGGAAGCAAAAAAGACAACAACAAACCCCCCTACGGCGACCTTGACCATTAAATCCATCAAATCATGCGCAAACTCGTAAATTCGTCTTTAGTCGCTCAACTGGCGATATGCTCATACTGGCCGACAGGCCTGCGAAGCTCAAAATCGTATATATGTCGGGATATGTCGGGCTATGACGAAAAGAAGTATTCCGTTAAAATGGTTGAGGGTGTTAGACGTTATTCCTCCCGAAATGGAATATGGCCAAAGTATGTACGTTGCGACCTGAGTCTCCATCGTCGACACTACGCGGCAAATATGTCAAGTGAGAATAATGGTTCCCCAGATAATCGTGCGTCAGCCAGATTTCATCACGAGTTGGCAAACACTTGGTAGGCCATGACCATGATCCAAAGCAGGAAGATGGCACCGACAAGCGCAAACGAAAACACCGCCTGCCATGCCTGGCCTACATCACGAAATCGAACATTAGCATTGCTCCCGTTCACAAGATTTCCTTCCGAAGTCTGAGCAGAAAAAAAGAAGAAGAGATGGACATCACATCAAAGACATGCAGAGGAAGGACGGGAAGGGGAGGAGAACGCACATATGCTCTTCTGTTCCAGCCATGCGAGGGTATCCAAACTCTGCCCCGTCGGGCTCCGGTTAAACACGGCGAGGTTGCACGTGCTCGAGACGGACCCGTCGGGGCCCCAGAGCTGGATACTCACGACTACAAGGCCGACGAACCATAGTATGAAGAGAATGAAGGCGCCGATCATGACAATGGCCGGGAGGAGACGACGCTGGAAGACTAGCCAGAGGAGGAGGCCGATGAAGAGGATGACGAGGGATGCAACGGTGATGTAGTAGGGAAAGTACCTGCGCGCGGAAGAACGATGGTTCATCATGTTAGCATTGACTTTGTCTCGCAGAGTTCTTCTCTTGGCCGGAACCCTTCGTCTATTCGCGTATGCGTTGAAGCTTGACATGCCATGTGGCCAGGCGTGTACTGCAAGACGACGGGATGCGAGGGCGGAGTAAAGGTAGCAGTGTGAACAACGCACCAGGGAATTGGCAGGAGCAGCTGCTGCTGCGTCTCGATAAAGGACGCAAAAACACCGATGACGAGGCAGGCGGCCACGAGCATGACAAGTATCCAGAGGTTGAGCTGGACGCCGGGCCATTGATAGCGGTGGACACGCTCGACAACGCGCCTCTCGTAGAGGGAGCTGCCCGTCAATGTCGATGCCACCATTGTGCCAGTATTTGCTTTTCACAACTCGGGTTGTGGACGATGGGTTGATGGTGGTGAGGTATGATCGCGTCGCCTAGGTATGGTGACTGTGGCTGAGATTCAGAATTGATCGCTAGGAGGTGTCTTGAATGTCGGTATTTAATCGATCGTGGTTGATGCTCTCGGTCCCCAGAGTAGCGCAATGGGCAGCGTTGGGTACCGTAGGGCTGGGTTATGTTGGTTCGGCGAGGCTGGGCAGGATGCAATCGCCTATGCGCGTGCGGCAATCGCGTCGATGAAGTAGGTATCCTGTATTGAGGGCGAAGGAGGGCTCGTTTCGTCTCGTCGGGTACCAAAGAGTTCGTCCTATTATTGGGGGGCAGGGACGGAAGCAGGGACAGCTTTCTGAGCGCCTCGCAGTCAGGTAGAACTCGACCTAACGGCCTGCACAGTACCCAAGGCAAGGTAAGGGTGGTTGCGACGACGGATCGAATGGATGGTGGTGTGTGGGTTGCCCTGGCGTTGGTGCGGCGGCTGTTTTGGAGGGTGCCACGTCAAAGTCTTTAGCCAAAGTTGCCGTCGGTACCTATTTGCGCCGCAATTATCTTATGGGTAGATGCGTGATTTGAGAAGTGGTCTATGATGTGTAAGGGTATGCATGTTGTAGATTTTATCGGCGAGTAGGTACCTCAAGGCAAAGCTCCGATTTGTTTCTATTCGGAAATGGCGATGGCTGGGCGAATGGAAGGTATCGCTCAGGTACGGTACCTGACTCCGTGAACACATCGGTGAGCAGGAAAGTGGGGTCCTCCGAACTCGCCTTGGACCTGCCCTGCCAGCCACCCACGACTCCAGGCCGATTTCCGGGACCCGCGAACCTCCTTATGGAGAAGGCACCCGTCCTCTCCCTGCCGGTTTGCACCCGAACCGCCGCCGCCCTCGCCCTCCCATCACCACGAACCACGGCTTCAGCCTTGCCATACGTCTTCATGTTCATGTTCAATTATACTGAGTGTTGTCGTCGTGGACTTTCAATTAAGCCACGTGAGCGCACTGCGTTCTGATACAAGCGTGGGTCAAAAGGACAACGCAAACGATCGCCGGCTACCTTATATTGGGGTACCTAGCATCCATCATGACAAGGGAAAGTCGGCTCAAAAAAGCAGTTTGTTGGTATCTGTCTACTTCAACCCCGTGTCTGGCTCCTACCAAGTTTTCTTTGCTGTTCGGTCTTCTATTGCGCTCCGCGCCAGATTCGACTTTGCCTCCGTGTTCCGGTTAGTCTCGAGTATGTTCCCGTAACCATCGATAGACAGCTCTCGCAGTTCTCCTCCTGCGACCAAGGTTCTTCTAGAAGTGGAATAACCCTTCTTCCTTGTATCATGTCCTTTTTACCCTGCGCATGCAAATACAACTGATTCAAAGCAACGACTCTCCCAAGGCGCACCGCACAAGCGAGCAGCCAGCTCTTACCGTCTCGGACGCCGCGCCCTCCTGCTCGGCCGCAAGCGACGGGTTCACCTCAACGAGGTCCAGCGCGACAAGGCTGCCAGTCTCGTGCACACACTCGCAGATGTAGTCGCCTTCCCTCAACGTGAGGCCGCCGCGGACCGGTGTCCCTGTCGACGGCGCCCACATGGGGTCCAATGCGTCAACGTCAAATGACAAGTGGATCGGGGTATCGTTGCCAATGTGCGCCAACGCCATCTCCATGACGCGACCGATGCCATATCTGATGATGAGAAGTCAAGGTCAGTTACGATGCGAAGGAGGGGAAACCACACAAGACAGGTCTTTGCAAGGGAAAAGTGCCAGGGGAGGAGCCTACCTGTCAATGTCAAACATGCTAAAAGCCTTGATGCCATTCTCCCGCAGAATCCTCTTCTCGCCGGCATCCACGTCGCGCAGACCAATGTAGACCAGCTTCTTGATGCTCAGCATGTGCTCATCCTTGAGCCAGCCAAAGTACTCGGGTTTGGACTCCTTGGCTAGCCCCGTGACGAAAGCCACCGGCATGCCGTGGACGTTGCCGCTGTCGCTCGTCTCGGGGGTGTTGATGTCGGCGTGCGCATCGACCCAGATGACGGCAATCTCGCGGCCGAGTCTCTCGCGGGTGGCCTTTGCGGAACCGGCAATCGTGCCAATGGCAATGCTGTGGTCGCCGCCGAGGGTCAGGGTCAGGCGGCCGAGGCGCGACTGCTGGTAGACCTGATCGGCGATGCGCTCCGTGACGGAGGACACGGCCTTGGGGTTCTTCATGTTGCGGAAGGGAGGGTCTTCTGCGGGGACGAGGTCGGTGTAGAGGTGCACCTCATCGTCGCCGTGGAGCTTGTAGCCCAGCTCGTCGCGGAGCTGGGTGAGCAGGCCGGACTCAATGAGGGCTTTGGGGGCGGCATCGACGCCTTTCTTACACTGTAGGCGGGGCAAGAGGGTCAGATTTGTTCGTTGCCTTGAAGGGGGTGGGAAAAGAGCCTGGCGTAGGCCAATGGGTAGAGGGCGTCGGCGATGCTTACCTGTCCGCCAGAGAAACCAACAGCAACAACGCCGAGGTCCTCGGGGTTGCTGAGGAACTTGGACTTGACCATTGACGTGTTCATGACCATGATTGCGATGCGCCGCGAGTGCGAAGCTTTGTTGTTGCGGGAGATGGGAGTGATGTGGTGGTAGGTGAGGGTTGACGATGGTAGCGCCGGCAATGGGTTCGGTGCAAGAGAAATGTACAACACGACAACGCGTGTGAAGAAGATCAAGGTGAAAGATGGAGGTGGAAGAAGAAGAGGAGGAGGGAAGAGGAGAGGCAAAGAAGAAGGTAGAAGCTGGGGAGTGTTATATAAAGAAGGAGGAGGAGTCTTGAATCAGCAACAGGCGGGCGATCAAGGTATGTTTAAAGGCTTTCCGTCACCGGCGACTCCAAGGGCTCCGGGACGACGAAGTACAGCCATCCATGACCATGGCCACCTCACCTCAGTCATCGGATGGCTAGCGCGCCTAGGTAAGGTAGGCTTCACTGTCAGAGCTAGGCCCCTCGATCGGGAGCATTCGCGCGCATTCCTGGCGAAGGGGAAACGAGGACGAGGACGGGGACGGGGTGGTTTGTGGAAAAAGAGACAATAGAAGGTGGGACGGTCGGTGTCGTGTCGAAGGAATTGACGGGAGGTGACGCTACCGGACACAATGGAAGCTTGAGGAACGCAAAGTTCCAGTCTACTCAAGGTAGAGTAAGACAACCTCGAGAGCCGGCGACGGCGACGGCGACGGCGACGGCAATGACACCAGCGTGTTCCAGGCTGCGGACCCCTGAACCTCCTCCCTTGGGGCCCTCCACGAGTCCACGGTCCACCCCCGAACATCCCCACCACGGGTAGACCTGCACTTAGGGGAACATCAGTGGACCCCCGGACACTTATGGGGCCCTCCTCTGGCGGCACGGTCGGGCGGCGTAGCGCCGCAAGATAGCCCAGGTCTCCAAGGCCAGAAGCCGCAGAACGGTAGCACCCCCGCCGCACATCGCTGGGGCCCGCTGGAGCCACCGCTGGAGCACCTGCACTTAGGGGTCTGGCGTGCCCGGAGGTGTGCCACTTAACGGCAGGTGACCCGGCGGAAAAACGCGCGAGGCATTATTTAAAGAGGCCCGTCGCCCACGTCCGCTTGTCCACCTCACCTCCGGGACTTGGTGATATTCCCTAATGGCAGGGCGACGCGAAGGCGCATGACAATCTCACACCCGACACACAACCAAGAACCACGGACGGAAGCTCGGCCTTTTCGGAATACGGGAGAGAGACAGAGAGAGGGAGAAGAGAAAAGAGTTTTTTTTCTTCTCATTTTTCCCTCTTCTTTTTTGTTGAGAAAGAGGGGGCGATGCGGACCACCCTCTCTCTCTCTCTCCCAGGCATAGCAAGGTACTGTAGCCATTTTGTCTCCATGAGGTTCTCTCTTCTCCCGTCCCGCGTGGCCATTCAATAAATATACCGGTAGTTAGTTCCCTGGCTTTACCTTTGGTAAGGTTAGTTTAGCTATCTTTACTACTGATGAGAGAGAGCCAGGTGTCTATTTTCCGAGGTTCGCACCTTCCTCGCCGCACGTGGTTTACTCCCGTCCGTCGCCTTATCCATCTGTCTTATCTCTTATCAGACACAAAGTGTGCGTAAGGAATCTCTGATACACCCCGAGTACACTCAATTACGTACAATGTGTGCGGCCCCCGAGGTTCCAATTGTGCTACTGCGGTTTTGAGGCCCTCCACCCACGAGTCACCCACCGGGCCACCACAGCCCATTCCATCACGGACCCGCACCGCTGCTGCATCTCATCTCACACCTGGAAACCCCAGCGATTCGTGTCCGGGCCGGCATCCCTCGACTTGCTGCCTCCCATCCTGATTCTCACCCGTCGGCCTCACCTCAGATTCCTCGTCCCCCCATCTGACTACATTAGCATCTACCTGACTACCGTCCCTTGTCACATTTCTGTTATCAATCGGGTCCCAGGGTGTGGTCACCGCTGGGCCGCATGACGTCCTTCCAACATCCACTGCACGGGGCTAGCCCGCCCGCCGGCCTGTTCAATGAACCCCCGTCTACCATTTCCAAGATACAGATCCGACAAAAGGTGAGGTGCCCGGGGTTCTGGACTCTGGAGGCTTGGAAAAGGGTTTCACCCCAAGGTAAGCACGCTGACACCCTCACCCGCCATCTCCATGTCCCAAACTCGCGCTTGAGTAGCACAAACTCGTGGATGTTGAGGGGGGAGCTTCTACAACCGCTGAGATCTCTCATGGTAGACTAAATTGCTTTATGCCCCATGTTCCTTCGTAAAGGATTATCCAAGTTCTCCTTGACGGAGGAGCAGAAAGCTTAAAACAATTGATTTTACTACGAGAGACCTTGGTGCTTACAAAAGCTTCTTTAATACTCAGTTGTTATTTAAGTAGCTGTTTTTTTGGAATGTTCTCGATTTCAATAAACACTTGCAATGTTTCAAAATCATTATCACAAAATTCAGAATACTTCACATGATCTTCTGCATTCATTTGAAGATAAAGGTCCGGAAGCACAGCAGCCGAACAAAAGCTCGTCTGATTACCTCCGTTGTCTCTTATTTCGATGTTACCCCTCACCCGAGGAAAGCAAGGACGCTCCCTGGCTTTACGTAAAAGAGGCGCATTTTCTCGTCTCGAAATTGCCTTACCATCGCGTAATCGTCCGTCCTAAACCATCACTCGGGGGGCGGGCTCGACTTGATTATGACTCGTAGTTCGTCTCCAATCCTCCGCCCATGTGTCTGGTGAAAGTGATCAAATGACTTTACTCTGCTGTACACGGGCCCGTCTGGTCAGCTTGCCGACGACGACTGGCAGAAGCAAAAGACTAAGAATCAAGATATCATTACTCAATACCTACCTCGCTCGGCTCGCCTACCAAAGGCTATAGGCGGCAGACGTCGTCTTCGGTCTGCGGGATTGCCTTCCGATGACCGAGCCCCTTCCTCTTTTATGCCATGTAGTAGTATGTGGTTGGGACCTATGTCGAGCAAGTTTAGAACATCCAACACCACCCTCACAGTCATATGCGCGTGGCACTCTTGATGCGCCACTGAACATGGTAGTAATAGGCACTGGTCGTCATACAGGCACCTATGGCCTATGTGTGTAACTAGAATGATGCCGATCTCGTGCTTCCTCATTCTCCCGTTCGAGGGAGTCCCAGGAGGTTCCGTAGACAAAAGTCTCAAAACAGCAGAAAAGGCTGACAAGTAGGGGGGCCCTTGCGATTTACACCAAAAACTCCCCGAGACGAAAGGAAAAGAAATCGAGAAATGATAACGCCATGCCTTTTTGAGTTCCCATATCCCGCGGTGTGGTATCCATGCAACGAACAACAACCCTCTTGCCTCACGCTCTTAAGTAGATGTCTGCTCCGCCAGCAGGTCATGCACCCAGCCCATCCTCTCTCTTCTCTCGTCCGTGACGCGCGCGTACTCAAGAAGCAAGCGCAGAGTATAAATCTGCATGTCTTCTTTGCGCAGCGCCTTCTCGGCCCACGCCTTACCGGCCATGGCAATCTTCTCCGCCTCGGCGTCATGGCCCGGCCTCTCGTCACCGTACCCCAAAAAGTATTCCATGATGCCGTAATATTCGTTGTACCTCGTGTCCATCGGCACAAAATGCTTCCATGCCACTAGACGGCTGTCGTGCCATTCCCGCCAAAGCGTCGACTTGATGGGGAGACTCGTGCTGCCCAAAAATGCGAGGTACCGGCCCGAAAAGCTATTGCCGTCAACGTCGGGGAGGTACTTGTTGTCGTACATCTCCCAGAGCATGACGCCCTCGGTGATGTTGAAGTGGGGGCTCGTGTAGTTGCACGTTCCGGCCTTGCCCTCAGGCTCGCACATGAGATCCGTGAACCCAACATTGGCCCACGACTTGATCCAGTCGCCCAGCCCACCCACCGCCTGCGCTGCGAGGTTGTACATTTTATCGGGTAGGGAAAAGTTGATGGGGTCCATCGTGCCGTCTTCGGCGCCCGTAACCTTGGTCGCGTTGTTCATGGCCACGAACCGGTGGCGCTGGAACCCTTGCCAGTTATCCACGCGGTTGCGCCCACCCGTTGCGACGCCGCGCCAGAGCGCCGAGTCCTTCTTCTTGCTCCAGGGGCCCCCGTGGTACCCACCGCCGCTGAACCGTTCTTCCTCCGTCCAGTACATGGCCGCAGGAAGGAGAATCTCGTTGTTGACAGCTAGTTTGGAACCACCAAACATTGGGAACAGCACAGGCGTGGCAGCCGTACTGAGGGGCTCGATAAATATGCCATTGAGGCCTTGCAGGTCGGGCTGGTGACAGATATGGGTTGAGAGGGTGTAGTTGGAGACAAAGCCGTCGCGCATATGCGGTTTGGCATACTTTGTCGAAACGGCGGGGGCATGGTCAAACGTTCTTTGCGTCTTTGCCAGTCGAGCAGGGCTATCGGGAGGGCACCCTCGGCGGGCAATGAGCCAGTATTGTTCTAAAGACGGGCGTCAGTATTAGGGTGTAGTTCGTCCCATGGAAAGTAACGGGTGGTGGGGTAAACCAGGAGTTGGCGGGCACATACTCGTGACTTTATCCCAGTGCTTGCTCTTGACCTTAACATTGCGGTCGAGCTCCTTTTTGTTGCTAGGCAGGGCCTGGAATGTGTTCATGACCTTTTTCGGCTCGGGCATCCCTTCCGTCAGGGCGGCGTCTCTCAAATGCTGCTCCATATCCTCAAACGGCACCACCATGCGCGGTTCGTCCATCGGATTCAAAGCAATGTCCATGTCGGGTAGCAGGTGCTCGATCGTCTTGAGCATGTTTGTCCAGTGGATAGTCCAGAACCAGTCGCTAATACGGGTGGCTCGTCCCTTGCGCACCTTGATAACCATCTCCCATTCGGCCGCCTCTTTTCGGATGCGCGATGGCTCGAGGCCCCAGAATGGCTGAAGGTCGTGGTAGATTTGGTCGAAGAAGTCTTCCACAATGACAGCCTTGCGGTCCTGGGCAAATTGAAACCACGCGTCAAAGCCCGGCGGAGGGTGGCGACCACGTCGCTCGCGATAGGCCTTGGCCGCGGCGGGCAGCGTCTTG